ATCATCAGATTGGGTGGAAATGTACTACCAGGAGGATGTGCGTGACACCAACAGAAGTACTCATGATCTCCGTACAGTGTTAACTTTTATATGCGCGTACACGTTCCCACACATGCACACACATGTAGGCCCCTGTGCAGAAGATGGGTGGTGGTCTGTTAGTACCCTCTTCATATTTTTGGGTAGAAGTACGTTCCTTCCCAGCTGCTGGTCCATTTTTGTAGGGCTTATGAATCAGGGCTTTACACTGTGGACTGTGGTTGTGTGTGCTGTTGCTGCATAATGGCAGACGAGCTGGTATTATGGAGCTGCAGTGGACTCTGACTTGATCTTTTTACTCTCAGAATTGGGTAACACCGAGCAGTGATTTGAGGGAACCAACCTGATCCTATATGTGTTTATGCAAAGACAATGCCTGCTGTGTTCCTTAGCGTTTGCTCTCAAGGAAGAGGACATGGGATTGTTTACACCAGGGGTGGGGAAACTTGCAGCCCTCCAGATGTTGTTGCTTTACAACTCCAGGAATGTATAATTATCATGACCCAGTCATTGGCTGCCCTGGCGACAGCCGCCAGGGGAACTTACGGAGGGTCAGAAGTTCTCCAACAACATCCAGAGGACCGCATGTTCCCTAACCCTGGTTTGCACTCAAGCATAGCCCATGTGGAGGAAAGGTGCAGTGCGTCCTCTGAACCCAGTCTCTGTGGCAGGTAGTGGCAGAAGCAGATTATTTTTCCTTCTGCACTGGGAGAACAGATGCAACACTGGTTATAAAATATAGCTCCAGACCAGTCTCAGATAACAAATCACTGGCCAACATGAACTGCGTTTTCCTCTGTTCAGCGTTTCCAACATCTTTCAGTTGTTCACCATCCCCACCCATGCAGCATTATTTGCTATGTGTTACTTTAGGTAGTATGTCTACTCCAGGCTTAACCTCAGCTTTTCATATACAACAGGATCTTGTTTTGCCAAGTGTAGAAACGTGCGCACACACAGTCAATTATATTCAAGCTAAAATTATTAAAGATTAAAAATTCTGTGTTTCCAGGCTACAGTTTAATGGAGCAATAATTGTTTCAATCTCCCTCTAACTTGATTGTGAGTAGTTTGCAAAAGACTTGTGTAGTTTCAGGAGCTCTTTTGTGGCCGTACCATTTAGACTCTGCTTTCTATTACCCTGCTCAGGTTTCACTTTCTTTTAGTGGGGAAAGATGAGAACAGTTAAAATCTGAAGGTATAACTGTCCTGCCAGCCCGGCAGCTGCATGTTTTTCCACTAATTCAGTCAATATTTGTGTCAATTCCTGAGGAGAGGAAAAGAAATGAAAAGCAAACTATGTCTATGTTTAAGATTAATTTATACAGCAAAAATCAAGCAGATGGACCACATTATGTATGATCCCAACACAGTCCAAATGTGAAAGTGGCATTCTCTTCTAAAAAAAGAAATTCTGCCCAGCGGCTGCATTTCCTTCCTGTTTACTGTTCCATTCATGTCTTCTTTCTTGACTCATCTCTTTCCCCAAACTGATCCAGCTGTGATTCATTTTTATCACCGTTCTGCAGCTGGCCTATTACCTGTGCACATTATAGAAATGTAGTAGATTCTTAGCTAGTTTCACTTTACACCAGGGTTTTTCCTCTCTGTTGCAAAGTCTGAGCAGAAGTATTTTATAGAGAGTGCCATGAAGCCTTGTCAGATTTTGGGTTGGCATGGAAAACTTATAAGAGGGCCAGTGTGGTCCAGTGGTTAAGAGTACAGGACTGGGTCACAGGGGATTGGAGTTCTAGTCCCCCCTCAGCCAGGTGGGCCACTATGGGCCAGTCACAGACTGCCAGCCCAACCTACTTCGCAAGGTGGTTGTTGTGGGAATGAGATTAAGAGCAGGAGGAGAATGTTGTAAGCTGCTTTGAGTTCTTTAAAAAAGAGTAAGGGTGGGATATAAATCTAATGAATAAAAAATAAAAATGTGATACCAAAATACTTTAAATTATGCATTTATTTAATGGTTCCTCCATTAGAAATGGAAGTTGCTATCAAAGTGAGATAAGAGCTACACGGTGGCAAAATATTCTGATCATATGAGTGTCTTTTGAATACAGTGATGCTCTAAACCTTTCTAAAGCTCAAGACTGGAAATTATCTATCTGGATTTCAGAATTAGAAAAGGAAGTGCACAGACAAGAATCAGAAGAGAAAGAGGGAAGAAGTGCAGATATAACTGGTTACTAAATCTACCATGTCACTTCAGCATTGTGCTTAAATGAGCTCTATTTCAAAATTTATGGGTTTATTCCCATCCTTTTTCCTTCAAGGAACTCAAGGTGGCTTACATGCTTCTCCCCACTACAACCCTGTGAAGTAGGTTAGGCTGAGAGCCAGTAACTGACACAACGCTTTGTGGCTCAGTGGGGACCAGAACCTGGAATTCCTGGATCCCAGACCAACCGTTGAACAACTAGCTCTCATTCTCATTATCCGTACTGCTGCTGCTTGTTTTCTGTCAATGCAAGGTTTTTCGGGAACCGGCTCCTTCTGATATACTGTTCTGAATCCTGACCTTAATATCCCGTGTTGCCAGATTGGAGGCGTAAGGAAACTTGCTGTATCTCCTGAGTGCAGAATTGGATCTTTCCATTTTAATGCCACTTGATATGCGCTCTCCTTTTGCCTTGGCAGAACAAAACGTGTAGCAGTTGGTAGCACAGCAGTGCACGACGTATTGTAATAATCGGTATTGACACAAAAAGCATATGGTCTTAGGTTACATATTGGGTCAAGCAGATCTAATGTTGTTCATCCTTTTCCTGTTTATAAATTATCCACAGATTACCCTTAAAAGAGAAAATAGTGCCATTACATAGGCCAAGCGGCTTCTCTTAAGAAATAGCAATTCTAACAATAATAAACTAAGCTTGCTCAAATGAGCATTTGGGTGGCTATGGCCGTATGTTGTGAGATAGGGTTCTGGATTAGAGCACGTTGATTTGATCATGTTCTTCACTCAGACAAATACTCAAAAGTGCTTCTACGGTTAATGCCTGTTCAAAATGCGCAAGGCTGATACTTACTAAGCTGTCTGAGTAACGAATCCTGAGATGCATGAAACGTGGATGGAGCATATTTGTTTTGTTTGCCTGTTTGTTTTACAGTTATTAAATCACTCACACGTTTAGGCAATCCATTTTGAAAATGAAATCGTAGGGCACAGATTCTTGTGCATTCTTACAGGGGATGGGAGTAGGATGGATTGCTTACACAGACTGGGGGGGGTGCTCTACCTCCTAGTGCATTTTTAAGTCCACAGTGGTTGATAAAATTGCATGTAACTAAGTTCTTTTAAAGGACATGGAGGTTATAGCTGAATCATACATTTGCATTTTAAGGAAACTTCATGCATCCAAATTGAAATGGTAAAATACATGGGTGTTCCTGTAATAATGATCAGTGTAGAATTATGTCTGCTCTCCCCCACCCCAATCGCTGTTGTTACCTGGGTTATGGAGGAAACCCTACCATTGGATTTTCATGCTCAGTTCATGCAGTGGGTTACACATGGGTTGTGCTCCTTTAAACAAGGAATCACTTTTGCCCAAGTTAAAAAGTATGAATTGGTTCTTACTTGGCGAAGAGATAGCTATAGTGTATGTAAAAAGTGAAGACAGTATGAGGAAGGGGAACAGACATTATGGGAGCAGGCAGCAGGTCCTCTTAACACACTAAGTACCGTTATGCCAGAGGGTTTTTTTTTTTTTTTTTTTTTGGAAGAAAGAAGAAAGGGACAGGAACTAGCATAGATTTTCATATTGGCAAGACTGTTGGGAGTGATGGTTTGACCACTCCAGGCCCAATATCAAGATCACCAAAGCCCAGGAGTGTCTACAGGAGGAAAGCTGCTTAGATGAGGTTCCTGGGCAATGTATCAGAATTAGTTCTGTTGAACTGAATGCAGTCTAAGAGAGGGTGTGTCACCTAAGAAACAGGACTGGAATGCCTTAATGAAAGAACTTCCCTATGCAGGGCAAGTTGGGTGGTCCTTACCTATGCAGACAATGTCTGGCCCTCCAGAACAGTGCATCTGGTGTGAGTAGGAGGATTGCCATGGGACCAAAGCTACTGCTGCAGTGGTGGATTGTGCCCAGCATTATGGCATCACGGGAAAGGCATGGGAGATTGGAAGCAAGACAGGAGACTCAAAGAAGAGTAGGTTAAAATTGGCCACAACACTATGTGTTTATAGTTTTAATAAGTTACGGCACTGGGCAACTCAACTGCTAGTTGGAACCATCACCCATCCCCATGCTGGGATGAATTAAATGGAAGGTGGCAGGAATTTTGGACCTACTGTGACACAGACCACTCTTTGAACCCCTTCCTGTGCCCTGTTGTGGGGTGAGTATGGTAGACCTCTTGTTGGACCTTGAAGTTATAGCCCCAAATGGGAATCCCCCTTCTGCAGAGCAGGGAGCCTACCCTCAGGTTATCCCCAAATCTAGTCCAGTGCCTCACCCACCACAAAACTGCAACAAGAAAACTAACTGAAATGAGACAATGTTAACTGATTTTGCAGTCCGGTCATTTATTGTAACTTTCCCTTATTGGCAGGTGTTTGAGAGACAGCACCTAAGTGTTTAACAGCTGTGGTGCTATGCAGTGTTTCCCTGGCACAGGAGAAACAATGAAGTGTTTTGACTGGTATGCATGCAGTCTGTCTTTTTGAGCATAAAAGAATGAGAGCAAGAGAGGGAGTTGCTTGGTGCTGCAGTGTTTTCTTACCTTTGATGAATAATATTTGTTCCCCAGTACTTCTTCCTGGAAACATCTCTGAGAACTAACAAATTGAAGGGTGGCCTATAAATTAAGTAAACAGAACAAATAGTGACACGAATGCCTTATACTAGTCATGTATAGGTACAAATTATAATTGAACAGTCCTTTGGAAATGAGAGACAGGCTAAAGTGTGAGTGTTTTCTCAAGGAGTTCTTATTATCAATAGGTCCAAGCACAAGTCCGACATGCAAAACTCAACTTTGACAAACTGAAAACAGATGTCTGTCAGAAAGTGGATCTTCTTGGAGCAAGTAGATGCAATCTTCTCTCTCATGTGCTGACAACATACCAGGTATCAAAAAAGAAAGTCCATGAAATGCAGGATTTCTGTTTAGTAATAATAGCCTTGTAGCTTTGCATGGTGGTGCCATCCAGTTTTCTTAGCCATCTTAGATATTTGTTAGGATGTGAATTACGCATTCAGAAATTTCTTTCTGTTACAGACAACCCTTCTTCATTTTTGGGAAAAAACATCTCATACCATGGCAGCTATCCATGAAAGTTTCAAGGGTTATCAGCCATATGAATTCACAATGTTGAAGGTAAGGAATCTATAGCTGTCTGTGTACAGTGAGTTGGATGAATGACAGAGGGAGACCAAGAATCCTGATTGTAGAACATCACTACACTTCGAAGATGTAATCAGTAGCCGTAGTTTACAAATGTTGCTGTTACTCTTTTGGCATAATTTTCACACTTGTGGACTTCCAGTCCTGAAATATCTGAAAGATGCATGCTACTCGTGAAACAACCATACATACATTACCATTGTGTTATAAGAGCTGGCCACGTGAAGAATTTCATTTTATGGTGGCAATGAATTTCAGAGGTAGTCTATGGCTGGACCCAAGCCTGCTTATCCCAGTAAATTTTAAGCTCTTGAAGTGCTAACCTGAATAGGACAACTATTACATAATAATATTGGAAAGAGGGATATAAAGAACACATCAATATTTTCTTTAAACAGCTTCTTCAAGAGTGATTTTGATATGATAAGACTTTCACTACTAAAATATCTGTTACCCAGGTCAAACAGAGTACAACCCTATGTAGGTTTAGACAAAAAAAAAGTCATACAAAAAACACATTATTATTATTATTACATTTTTATACTGCCCATAGCCAAAGCTCTCTAGGCAGTTGACAGCAATAATCATAGAATCATACACTCAAGTCACCCATCCCATTTCTGCCCAGGCCTGACCCTGCTTAGCTTCCAAGATTAGGCAGGATCAGGCACTTCAGGCTACATGGGGGAGGGTTGGGGGGGCGGTTTCTGTCTAAGCAAACAAAGGATTGCCGCCTTACCTAACTTGGGCTCAGTCGCTTGACACTGTCAAATGCCCCATTTTATACTGATGACTTGTCTGCAGCCTACACCACTTTGCCACTCACATTCACCACTAGTCATTTCTAGCTTGTTATCGGTGCATCCAATTTCTGGGTCAAAGTAAACAGGATGCTCAATGGGTCATTCAGAAATGGCATCAGCTATACTTGTTCACATGATAGCAGGTGCCCAGAGGATTTTCATTGCGACCTCAATCTGCAGAGTAGGCAGGCATCGCTGTTCCTTCCCCAGCTTCAGATAAGCCAGAGGTACCTAGTTTGGGCAAAACAGGGAATTCTGGATTAATTGAAACCAGCCATGAAATGCCACATTTGGAAAGTGAGACAAGAGGCAAAGCAGAAGTATTCAAGCTGGACACTCACACTTAGATTTACAAATGATGGATTCTGAAACCTGAACTGGGCCAGTCAGCTCTTTCTCCTGTCTGTCTGTCTGTCTGTCTGTCTGTCTGTCTGTTGAAAAGTAGCTGCAAAATAGGAAGCTTCAGACTGAAGAGGGGGAATAGCAAGAGGAGCAGCTGTTTAAATTTTTCTCTTCCAACCATTTTTCCACTTGAAATTCCAATTCCATCTGGAAACCCCCAGATGCTTTTTAAAATATCTAATAGCAGGAACGGAGTTCCAAGTCCGTTGCAGCAAGTGTGTGCATTTAGTTATGGAACTTAAAGTCTACTCTTGGAAGAATTGATTTAAGATGTTGTCCAGCGCTTCCAGCTTCACCCTGAATTTCATTGCTAAGGAGATTTTTGTATTTAGATCTCAACTACCCAGGCTTATAGCATCTACACCATACTGATATTAATGTAATTTATGCCTGTTCTGCAAAAGTATATGCGATTTTCTTCTCTACTATCAAAAGAGAGCTTATAAAAATCCAGCTTTTGGAATGCATTCCCCTCTCCTCTTAGTGCAAAGCAACCATGTTTCTAGTTGTGATGCATAATTACTTCCATAGACCATATTGCAAGAATCTAAATTAAGCAAGTGTGTGTGATTTACAGCATCTGAATTCAGCCTGGTGAGCTGTAGGCCTTTTTATGATCAGTAAGTTTAGTTTCAGTGTTCTGCTTTAGTTAACAGTATCATTATGAACCCAGTGTTTTTATGAATGTGTTCTAAAGGCTTGCCTCCAGAAAGAGATTCTCTGCTCTTGGGATTATATGTGGAAACAGTACATTGTTTTAGGAAGGTTTTTTAAAAGACCAAACTCTGGTAATGAACAATCTGATAAAATTTGTTTTCTTTACTTCAGGGTATGTTGTGGAAGTACTATAATTGCAGCTGTGTTTCCTGATCGCTGAATTTGCATTTGAGAGACTATCTTAATAGACAAACAAGCCCAAAAATTCTGTTGAGCGAAAGATGATTTTGCATGATGTTACCAAGTTCTTGAGAACACTAAATTCCTCTTGCCTTTTTTGTTTTAAGGATTAGCATTTTGAACGTGGAAAAATATATGAAAGAAAAAATGACACACCTTTCATGTTGTACAATTAAAATGGTATATTTCTTTTAATCAATATTGGCCCAAGTGGTAGCAGGAGAAGAGGACAGGGACAAATGGGGGTTCAGATAGAGGAGGAAGGAAATGGAGACACAGATAAATCACAGCAACCCAATTCATTGCTCTTGTGGCAGGGCTCCAAGGTGCCAGTCTTTTTCACAGTGGTCAGTATTAATATACCACTATTTTATATTCAACTTTTTTCATTTCCTGAAAGATAATTTTGTTTCTCCCTTAGAGTGTAAGTAAGGGTTGTAGGTAAGGAGTTATAGGTCTTTTTTTCTGTCTGCACACTTGCTTTCTCCCCGTTTTCAGTTGCAAAAACTGCCACCAGGTGCCCCTTGCTGCCTCCGTTCTTTCAGTTTTTCCTCTCTTTGTTAAACCCATGAAGTTTTTAGTCCAGGGCTGCAAACCTTCAAGCTCAGAAACTGGATTTGGCCTGCCTTGGACCCCAAGCCATGGGAATAAAAATACACTGAAAAAAAAAAATACTATTTCCTCCTTCCTCAGGGCAAGGACCTTGCATTTTGTTTAAGTCAAACTGTGAAGTGCAGTGTGCATGGACCACACTGAACTAAAATTATAGTAATATTGGCATCATCACACCAGAACAGGATAGAAGAAAACCAGAAGCAAAGGTGCCCCCTTCCCACTTACAAGCGAAGGTGCCCAGTTGGCTGGTCTTCCTCCCTCTGTGTGGCACGTTAGCTAACTCCTGAGAGATCCGGCTGTCCTCTTCTTCTCCCGCCTCCCACATTTGCAGCAGACTGGCTCCCCTCAGCAGATTGGCAGAAGCAGTGCATGGGAACGGACTGCCATTCAGTGTGGCTGACAAGACAGCTGCTGTTACAACTTCGGGTGCTGTTGTGGAGGTTAATTTCCTCCACTGTTCTAAATCCTGGTGGAAAGAGAAAGAAAGGACACATGATCAGGTAACCCCAAGTCATGTGCTACATTCTTCTTAGCTCGTGGTTCAGTGCATGTATGTCTCTGCAAATGTTTTATTCCAAGAAGCTCGGTGTACTTTCTTCTTGCCCAGACTTATATGCATTCCATGGAAGTAAGTCCTACTTCGTTTGTTGGGGCTTATTGCATAGAGTGGCTAATTCAGTCATCCTTACTTGAAAGTAAATTGAACTTACTCTGATTCAGTGTACAAAGGACCACATTCCCAAGCAAACAGCACCATGTGACAAAAACTTTGTAAGCAGAGGCATTAGAGATGCACAAATGATTGTCATTCTGCTAGGACTTCACTGGCAGGCAGTCTTATCTGGCAGGTTAGTGCTTTAAGGAAGAGGGAAGGGTGGAGAGGCTGGGCAGATAGTGATCTTTTGTCTCTCAGGCCACATAGAGTTTTCCATCAGCATTACCAAGTTCTTTCAGCTGGATCAAGCTTCCCTCAGTAATCCAGGGGGAGTGTCAGACAGCAAAGGTAGCAGCCGAAGCTAGGAGAGGTGGGAAGGCTGTACACACAACTGACACACACACACTCCAGGTTGCAGCAGGAGCGAGAGAATCGCAGATTGCTGGCAGACCTCGCTGGCAGCAGCTGTAAACCTCCCTTTTTCAATCCTGCCTCTCACCCCACTCTCTGTTTTGTTTTTACATCCAGCATGCTTCTCTTTTGCCCGCCATCTGGAAATCCAGGACCTTGCACCCACCCCACCCAGATTTGGGCTACTTGAACCTTGGCCAGGTTCCTTCTTTAAAAAAAAAACAACCCACTTCCTTTACAGTGTGTCACCACACTGAGAAAAAAAAAGAAAATCCACACTCTTCTGAGAAAAGGAGGACAGGAGAAAAGGAACCATTTTAGTACAGAAAGAGGACAAAACCTTCAGGGAACCTTTTCATGGGTGCATACACAGAAGAACTGGGCTATCCTTTCAAAAGCAAAAATGAGAGCTGAAAAGTGGGGGATGAAATGAATTATGCCTGAAGATCTGACTATTTCTGAACTCACTCCTAAGCCCTAGTACACAACCTGTTTCTTGCTGTCAGGTTGCTTCTTCCGATCCAGGACAGGCTGTAGGAGAGAGATCCTCCCCTCCAGCATGTCGGATCATGGACGGGAAGGAGGAGAAAGAGACTGGGACAACCACGTTCAGCAAGTCCTGAGCGATGAGCAAAAGAGGAGCAAGCCCCCCCCCCCCTTTCATCAGCTGGCACTCTGCTTCTCTCAAGAGCTGGGCAGCTGGCGTGCAGGAGGACCCAGCTCAACAGCTAATATAAGTGGGGCAAAGGAAGCAGTGGGCCGGCTGCGAAGTGGCAGCTGCTCTGAGACCCCCGGCCACAGTGCAGGTGGGACTGCAGGGCAGCAGTGGATGGGCCGCCGCCGCCGCCTTCCATCCCTGCCAACGTGCTGCTTGAAGGAAGCACTTCATTCTGCTTCATGAGAGGGCTGGCTCTGCAGTGGGCCTCAGCATTTCTCACCAAAAAAAAAAAAAAAAAAGACAAATGGGATTTTAGGGGTTTTATCTGGCATCTGTTTCTTTGCAAATTGCATTATATGGTTGCTGTATATGCTTGCAAGAAACTGGTAGAAGTCAATTTCTAGTTTTAACGCAGGTTGATTAGACACAGTGGCAGATACAAACCTTGGAGATAAATTATTGCCTTTATGATTACATCACCAATGCCTATCTGATTTTTCAAAACTGCTTTCATGTGCTCTGCATTTTCCAATAATTTTCACCAGAAGTCATATCCTTCCTATTATTCAATTTTGATTTTTTTTTTATTTATGAGGGTCTTGTTCTTCTTTTCAATGGCAGAAAGAAAAAAAGAAAATCATACAACATCCTAGCAGAATTCTACTAAAATTGTTTAGCTTACTCATTTTAATTTGCTGTTTGGCATTTAAAATCTGTTTAATTCCAGCCTTAGTTCTTGTACTGTATTAACTTCTTAATGCAGAAAGCCCGCTCTCTTGCATTGTGAGCTTGCTGGGTACTTTTTCATTTAGTTGAGGAGTCCCTTTTATTTCTGCAATCAGATAGGTACATACATTTTCAGTTAAATTTATCTTTTTATTTTCCCAATGTTTTAAGACCTGTTTTAATTGGGGTTTTATTATTAGTTAAATTTTAGGACACTGTGGGGTTTTTTAAATTGCATTTTGTATTGTTAAACTGTCCCAAGACTTGGGTAATGGGACAGTTTACAAGAGTTTTAAATAAATGAATCCATGATGTACACACTGCAGCCTGGGGGCTGCATGCTACCTCCCCTCCCAACACACACACCGAGGGCTTTAGTGTTCACTCCTGAATTCCTTCCACAGGCACAAGAATCCCAAAACATTGTGTGCCCCTGACTAAGGCGGCTTAAAGTTTATAATAATAATAAAAAAAAAAGTATAGCTGCAGTAGCGCTTTTTCAGATTAACTGAATTTTAACATAGCACAGGCATTCATTTCATTGAAACCTCCTTTCAGATGCAAAATTGGAATGATGGCAGAAAGTCCTTGTTTACCTTCAGAAAGCCCAGGGTTTGGATGGATGCTTAAGAGTATTAGACTATGAAAGGTCCCAGGTAGGTCAGGGGAAATCCCTGTTCAAAACCGTGGAAAACCACTGCCCATCCATGTGGGCTCCCAATGGGATGCTCTTGCTGTGATGCAAATGCCAGACGAGAGAGTCGCAGGGCCCTTTTAACGTATGAAAACTTGTCCCATTACTGTGCAGAGCTCTTCAGCACACATGGAACAACTCTCTTCTGTTAAGATTGCCATAAAGGAGGCACATTTTGCAGTAGATACATCTTATCAATAGACACCCACATGCTGCCACTGTTGACAGCCAGTGTGGTGTTGTGGTGAGAGACTCTGGAGATCTGCTATCTTAACATTTCATAAGATTGGTGGATAACGTAAGAAGAAAATAACAGTACTTGTTTATACTAATCGTAACTTGCCCTTGCAGAAATCATTTCTCTTCCTGCATGGCAGGATGACTGCACAACAAATGCACCTGATGCTATTTAGGAAAAATGTGGCAGCAAAAGAAGCAATAATTACATAGTATATAGTCAGGGCATGTGTTGTAGCCATGGCTTCCTCCAGGTAATAAGTAATCAGGCACCTTGATCCAGGGGTTCCTTTTGCATGAGGCTGTTCCACTGTGAACTACGAAGTCTGAACTGGAATCAGAGTGTTTGTAACTGGGTGCCGCACCCAGGTTCCAGTTTACAGAGGTTGAGAACTAGCTCAAGCTTTTTCTTCACTTCTAAAACTGGTTTGGCTGGACACTGCTGGAACTAAAGCTGCTAAGAAACTCTGAAAGCAAAATCTTGAACATGGCTGTGTTTGGCTCGTTTGACTTCTTGTTATACAGTAGATAAACAATACTTCTGTTGTAATCATGGCTGTTACCTGAAGATTTCTGTGCATCTCAAATCCTCCTGTAATACAGTTGCTTCTTTATAATCCTGTTCTGGAGGAGGAGTGATGGGTAGCAGTCCCTGGTTTGCAAGCACTTGACAGTTCAGCATTGCTGAAGCTAAACAGGTGTAGATGGACCTGGTCAGTTTCATGGATGGAGACCATGGATGGAGACCATTGTGAACCCATCTGAGAACAGAATATATATTTTAAAAATTATTAGTTTATATTGTTTTCAGAGCCAAGGTCTTGTAAGTGGCTGGAAATGACTACAACTTGCAAGCCATTTATTTACTAGCCATCTGAACTTACCCTAGTAGTCATACAGTGCATAAAGTAAAAGAATTACCAAGCCCATAAAGCTGCTGGAATTTCTCAGCCTCTTCAAGTGTCTGGGGTAGAAGTTATTTACAAGAGTGAAGCATAAATTCATAAATACATTGTTAAAAACCAGTCCTGTGTGATAATTCAATCTAACTTTGAAGCTTAAATGTAGATTCTGCTCTTTAATAGGAATTTTGGCACTGCAGCTTTTGAACATTTACCTGTTTGGGGAATAGATGCATCTCCTGGGCTTCTGATCCATGTAAATATTTATAGAAAAACGTATTGTGATGGAGAAAAATGAAACTGCATATTTGTTAAATAAAAGTGCCTAAAATTGCCAAAGGTAACATAAGTACAAACAGATGTTTTCCGCTAAAGAAAGATCAAAATTATATTGGCAGAACTTCGCAACGCCTCCACTAGTGAATCCGTCTGCTTAGCTCTGGAGGCACACGGGAGCTAAGTTAGATAAGAGGGAATATTTTCCACTTGGCACCATGTCTGAAATTAAAAACCATGTAGCAGATAATGTGAGAATGCATGAAGAAAACCTGATTGTGCTCCACTTTGTTTATACTCTAATATTTCATAAGATCGGTAGATAAAGTCAGAAGAAGAATGCTTGTTTATACTAATCATGACTTGTCCTTGCAGAAAACATTTTTCTTCCTACATGGCAGGATCACAACAATTAAACCAGCATTATAAAAGTGCTATTAGAAGAAACCTTTCGTTAAAGAGTGCTGCCCATTTCCCTTGTGTGAGAATGGAGAATGCGGAGCAGCAGATGAACCTAAACATAGAAGTCGGTTCTGTAAACAGAAAACAAAAAACACATTTTTAGACAGCTGAAAAATAAAACATTAGGCACAGTATCCAACACTGCAGCTCTATCTCTACTGGTTCCTTTGCATATTTGGGATTACCGGGCATTGGCACTTCCACAAGGAATCCTGGACTTGAGCAGAAATACTCATTTTCTGAGTGGGTCTGGTCAACAGAGCTTCGCTCACAGGTCCGGAAACCAGTGATTCTGCTTATTTTTGACCACTTCAGGAACTGCTAGGTTCTTACTGTACTTGGAGCATAACAGTAAGGTTAACAGTGTGAAGCTTTCTTCAGCATTGCTTTCTGCTTGGTTTTATAAACCCCAAATGTTACACAGAGGCACTTCCAAAATGGTACCTGTGTTATTCTGTTGCAGCAAAGCATGATTTATTATGTTTAATTTATTTTTAATACACACATTAATTGTATTATGTTATTTACTGCCCAATAATATTTTTTTCTCTGGAAGGCTTTCAGCGTAAAATAAATTAAAAGTATAATATCAAGGAAGGAAAACAATCTGAGCCACAACAATTTCCAGACCGAATAAAACCAAAGTCTAACAAATATATACTGCATACAGTAGTTCAGAGCATTGAGACAGAGGTTTTTTTTTTTTAAGTTGTGCCAAAATTACCCTAAAATAGGCCTTTTGGGGAAGGCATTCTGCAAAAGGGTACCACTGCTGACTTGGCCCCCTTTTTGATAGCCAGCCAACTGCTTCACGTAATGAAGGCACACAGAGCAGGTCCTCTGAAGAGTTCAGTGTGCAGGTATGGCACGGACTATTGCAATCTTTTGGGGACCCTTGACCCAAGCCATTAGAAGTGTTAAAAGTGTTGTTAGCCTTTGAATTGGGCTTGGAAATGGACAGAGAGCCATTGCAGACAACAAAGCACCGTTGTGATCTGATCGTCACACACTGGAGTAGCTCAAGGAAAAGACGTGGTGGCTTCTTAAGAGACGTCCTTCAATTCCTTCAGTAGGACCAGAACCGGTTACGTGTGCATTACAGTATTTTGGAAGAACATGTGGCAGCTGGTGACATCTGCCTAGAGTTATTGGGCAGATTAGAACTGCACTAAACCAATAAATAATAATGAAAATTAGAGATCACAGCCCACTTGCAAATTGCTGTGACAGTAAAAGAAAATGTATAGCATGATCTGCCTTTTTTCCCATTCTGTTTCCTCTGCAGTTGTTACTCAGGGAATTTTTATCTGCTGACCTCTTTGCTTTAGGAATTCTCTTTTCTTCCTATTTACATTGAAGTAGCTTCCAGCTGTGTGAGGCTTCTGCTTTATGCAACTTTAGTAAGTCACAACATGGACGTTTTTCAGGGTTCCTTATTGACTTTGCATGCTCTTTTTTGTGTATGTATTGGCGGATGACCTAGAGCTTACAAGAACCTGTAAATAAACTGATGGAGAGTGAAGAAAAGGAGGCAGAACTGCAGCTAGAGAACACCAAATTGGGAGATGAGCAGCAGAGCCAGTAAGTCATACATTATGCATCTGTTGGAATAAAATAACACTGGCCAGCAGTGGCTTTCAGAGTCAATTTAGCTTTGCAGTAAATGCAGTAAACAAGCAGGCTGCTGATTATCTGAGAGTCAATGTGCAGAACTTGAGTCAGTATTTTCTAGCTTCGTTTTTCAGCTGATACCAAGCGCTACTCAGGAAATCAATGTGCAGAACCTTGCATTTGGACTAAAAGATCATGAACTGTCAAGAATGGATTTTCCCTGTTAACGGCAAAGTCGTATGAGCATCCAAAACAGAAGTGATGAACAGTACATAAGAAGAGGTAGAAGTTTCCCTGAGAGCCACATTTGTAAATTTCCACTGAGCCAGGAATTCTCCTGTTACCTTAAACCATGGCTGGGCCAAATGGAAGGACCTTCCTTGTCCCACTCCACTCCGCAACCTTTTTGCCTCTTTAATTGCCTCTCTCTTCCTTTCCTATATCTTTCTTCTTCACAGAAGAAAACAGCTGACAAATAGGCTGCTAGCATGCAAAGGCACACTATGTTTTGCCTTCCAGCTTTGGTTGCATTGTTTCTCCATAGATGTTTCTCTGCATAGGAAATTGCATTGCATTGCATTGCATTATGTAAGAAATTACATTACCTTGTATGCTGTACTTGGGGTGAGTCTGAATGCTGCTGTCTCACTTGTTCATTTTGCTTTTCTTCACTGGTATTTTGTGGATCACTGAAGCAATCAACATTTTAAGTAGATTAGAGGGGACAAATACGCCTCTTCCCCCTCCATGCCTTGTTTCCCTGCCTCAGCTTTCCACTTACACACAGGAGCTGGAACCCATCCATTACTCACTTTGAGCACTGATTAGCTTGTGTAATCTATACAGGACTTGGCAAGTGATCCAGTAAACCAGCAAGTCATCTGTAAGAGTATATCCTGAGAACAGAGATGAGTGAGATTTTAGTTACTATACAGATAGGCTGTATCTTACTCTTTGGTAGTCTGGCTGATCAGGACATAAAGCAAAAGGGAGAAAGAGATCCCTCTTCTCTGGAAACACTCAGGAAGAGATGAGGAGACGTGCATTGCTGGAATCCTATTGCCAGCTGTTGTTTTGGATGGGAAGACCAGATGTTAATGTGTTGGAGAACAGCTTTCAGTACGATCATTGGATCTGCTTTGGTTACCTTTTTTTACCCTACAAATCCCAGAGGAATGTTTTTTGTTCCTAGAAAAACTTGAAAAAAGCAACAGGCAGATCTAAATTTTTTTAAAAGCCATTCTAAGCTTGCACATGTACAGAGACCTGAAATAGCATGTTGGTTGGGATTCTTACATGGCCATTTGCATCTCTTCACTTGTTCGGTGCCAATAGAAGCAGGTCAGGACTTGCCTATGTAGAAAACGTCATTCATAGAATTGACTTCATTAGCTGTGCAAGAGCATTACTGAATGGCTGCAGAAAGGATACAGCCATGGATGCAGAGCCTTCATCAGACAAGGGCAGAATGCCAAAAAAAGAGTACATAGCCAAGTTGACCAGGGCCAGCATCCTTTTGAGCCTGAATTGTAAAGTGGCTCAAGATTTAATGCGGTTGAGCTCTTACCTTTTCTCAAGCAAAAATGGAAAGATCTCCTAAACAGATTTGTTCCTGGGGCTGCCCTTTTTATTTTCCCCCCTTTCTCCTCTCTTCTGTTTTGCTTTGCTTGAGAACCTCTTGCTAAAGATTTCTGTAACCCGACTGGGTTTGTGTTGCTATTGTTGATCTGTCCTCAGAACTGGGCTTGTGGTCCAGATAAGATCGCCGAGTGACAGCAGGCATAGTAATAGCGGTGAGCCCTGCCAAGCCAGTACATCAGTTGCCATGTAACCAGTCCTGCTGCTTATTCAGTGTTCTGCTGCTTGCTCTACACAAGGTCAGGGAAAGGAGACCCTCTTTTCCTCCAAACAGCAAATGGAATAATCCCAGTCTCTTTAAATATGTGGATGAAAAGCCAAAAATTGGGTTCTGAATCCCTAAAGTGTCTCATCAGGAGCATCACAAATGCTGCTTTGTCTTAGTTGGGAGATGAGATAGAATGGAACTACACCGAAGTAAGGTCACGAAGGCAGTGGTAGAGATGATAAGGTTTTCATTTTGCCTGGCACCCCAAACTGTCCTTGCCACCAGTCTGTTTCAGAAAGATTCAGGAGAGATTCACGAACCACCCAACTTTGCTGCCTGGGCAGCACATAGCATGGGATAGGCTTCCACAGGAGGTGGGTGAAGCCCACGGGGGTCAGACTAGAAGGGGCCTGGGAGGCCCCTTCTGACTCGCCCTGTTTCTGTCTTTCTATATTCACACATAGCATTCCTCCCATGACTCTGGCTTTACTGCCTAAAATGCTAGCATGCAATACTTTAACCAAGCCAGCATTGCATTACAATTTATGATCAGCAATAGCTTATCCAGTGGTTCACTGGTAATTACTACCTTATACTGCCAAGCACTAGTTAATGAAGGAAGAGGCTCTATCAGAGGATATCCAGAGTTGATTTAGGGAGTGAGACAGCCGTTACTTTCAGCAATGGAATGGTACACTCTGTAGAGATAAAGATCAGCTTTCCCTGGTATTCTCCAGATGCTTAGGACTTCAGCTTCTATCAGCCCCAGCCAGCATGGCCAGTGGCCAGGAATGCTGGGAGGTGTAGTCCAAATCTGCTGGAGGGCACCAAGTTGCAGAAGACCTATGCAGATCATTCTGTTGGAGGCTCATAAAGATGTTGCTGTCTAGTCAGCAGCCGTTTGCCTGCATGGTGAAGTTTATTGTCTATTATTTAGAAACACGTATTGCCAACTATAAAATAATCCCCAAGCATAACCCATAAAATACAATGCAGTGAAATTCTGCAATAAACTAATAAAACAGGGGACAGACACACACAGATAAATAGCAATTTATACAATGCAATAACACAGGTATCATGTTACAACTCTGATGGCCTATTGTTTCCATTGCCCAATTCCTTCTACTAAGGACATCAGATTCCACTCCACCATTTAGTGACACTCAGGGCAGAAACAGATATTTCACTAGAGAAACACTGTGTGAACAGTTATTTGTAATGTGCTGCTACTGTGATGCTAACATGCACAACATGTGCCCCAGGATGAATTTGCTGGAGCTAGAAATTGTAACTCATGCACTGAGGATGAAATGTGGGGTTATTAGATGCCACTAATTCACAGATCCTACACTGAGTAAGATCTTACACTAAGATACACATGTGTTTGTGTGTGCATGTGTGTTGTTTTGTTTCAAGAAAGAACCAACTAGCAACATATTTGAAATTTCAAGGTGTCTTGATTTGGTCCACAAAACTGAAAATGGGAGGAAACAATAACCATATGACATGATTCTCCGCAATTATAGTAGAACATACCATAAACTATTTTCTTATTTTTCTTTTCACAATATAAGGTTGATTTCATTAGATGATGAAAACCTCACCAAGGAATCAGCTGACTCAGGTATTGTTGCTCATTACGCCTTTCCAACTTCACCTTTCTCCCTCATCTAAATAGATGCCGTGTGAACATTTTGTCCTTGCAAGCTACTTTAGAGCATATCACATTGTCTTAATCAGGTTGTCTTCATGCTCACTCTAGAAGTGTAAAGCACACAAAATCAATTAAGAATGGAGATCTGAGATTAGATTCACCAAGTATAAAACTGCCTTGAGTGATACATATTGCAGAGAGAGGACACTTGCTCTGCCTCTTTCTGGTGACCTCTATCATCCTGGCTTTTGCAGCGAAAGGAGCACAGCCCTGTGATGTGGCTGCTGCTAGGCCGGAGGTGCCTTTCTGCCTCACCATCTTCCAGAAAATAGAGATGGAGATCAATGCCAGGCAACTGCACTACAACACTGCTGTGTTTCCCCAGATGCACCTTCCCTGCTTATCCTGTGTGTCCTTTCAGAGCAGATAAGCTCACTTAGGTGTAAGAGTGGAACTGGACCTCATTGAGTTCTAACATATTCCAGGCAGGTGCCTAATCCATCTGCCTGAACATCACAACATTTTCATTCAGCTTAGACTCTCTAATAAATAGATAATTAACTGTAGAGGAATACAGTCATTTTTGGAATTGATAAACCTTCCAGGCACGTACAAGATTGGCATTTCATGAAATAATACCCTTTCCCTGAGTTGAAAAGAAGTACCTTAATCTCCAGATGGACAAATGCTGATTTGTGCACTGTCCAGTCAGTTTTGAATATTGGGCAGTATAGAAATAAAATAAATAAATCACACTGCTGCTAAGATTGAGGACAGCCCTGAAGTTCATCAGATGAATTTTCAAGACTAAAGTGTGATTTGATCCAGAGGTAGCAATAATAGGAAGCTGGCCCACACTCGCTTTCTGACGCTGTGTTCTTCATTGCGCAACTTGCCATCTTGTGCTAATTAGGTCAATTGAGAGGATGGCCAAACTAGAGAAATTAAAGCTGAGCCAAGGATATTTGGACTTTGGCCTATGTCTCTTCTGAGGTGATGATACACTAAGGGTGGAATCCCATCAAGTTCTTCTACTGACAGAACTACTTCTGTTAAGAGAATTGAGAGTGGAAGAATTTCTCCCTTACCTTGCAATTTTGCTCTTGGGGGACCCTCCAGATGTGGGGGGAGTTGCAGGAGGGATGGAATAGCCCTGTGGGTTTCCCCTAAGTCCACTTTGGGACATCAAATAATCTGGGATTGATTCACATTAAACTGAACATCCTAATAATACAAGAAATCAGACCAGAAAAACTTGAGACTCATGTCTAAAGCTCTAAGTGTCTTTGCTGGATTTGATTTGACCTAGAAAATGTTTTGATTGCAGCAGACGATAGTAAGGACATCCTCAGTACTTTTGGGGAGAACCTCAACCACAGAGAAAATTCAGGTATGTTTCCTATAAGTGTGGTACAATTCTATGCATGTGTACTCACCAAGTAAACCCCAAAAAGTCCAGTGAGACTTCTCCCAGCTAAGCGTACATATATGAGACTGTGTCCTAACAATATTAAGTATGAAATCTACAGAAGTGTCTTCTAATAATGATTTCCCTACCTTGCTTTTTTAGGAGTAATAGATGACTTATTAGATCTGAAACCTGATGAAAATGGTATGTAATCTTTTTGTCTGTTTTATCATTTCTGCAAAAGGGTGCCAAACATAGTCTAATCAATTAAAAACTAGTTGTTTTTCAAAGTAATCATCTCCTGCAGGAGTGTAAGTGTTGTAAAAGGGAATTCAGTATGATACTGATGTAAAGAAGAATCCCTATATAGACCAATACTGATAGTAACTAATAGTAACAGATAGTGTGTTTATCAAATGTCTTGACATCAAACATTGTAGGCAACAGATATTCTTCCACTGAATTTTCAGCCAGGTCCACTTCACCACTAAGGCTCAGTAATCCATCATAACTATGTGTTTGTAGGAAATTATTTTGTGTGGGATGGAGTAGGAATTGTTGTACCTATTCTGCCATGTGCTGGTAGCATGCATTTGGTTTCATTGTCATGTTTCAAATATGTCTTTTAACACAATTCCCACATGTGGCAATGGCTAATAAAGGAATCCACTAGTTCTCAGAAGGATTTCTCCATGAGGAATATCCAAGAGCCACTGCATAGCTGTATGTTCATAACAGTAGCCACCATGGAAAATTAGGACGTGAATCCACACACACACAGTAGGACTAACTGTTAATTAAAAGGTATGTGGCTTCTTCCTGAAGTTATATTTGGAGTCAGAAGAATGAATTATGCTTTTTGGAAAATCAGTGATCATCCAAATGGGTTTCCACAAACTAATTCTATATTGTTTAAAATCTTTCCTTGTTCACCCAAGCACACTATTTATGTGGGAGTGTAAGAACAAATTTTAAATAAGATAGCAGTTTCCCTTGTATTAGCAACATCAAAAGTTTGTGATAACCTTAGTAGACATTTGCGAGTTTTTCAGGCAGGGTTGACTTCTGATAGTTTTGTCACCCTGTGAAAAGTGCTTATGTCGAACCATTCTTTGATTCTATCCCCTTCCATGCCAGCAGTTGCTGGAAGCTTCTGCCATCCAGCTAGTCCACCTCGTCTTATAAAAATGTCACTGGGCCTTTTTATAAATGTATACTTCAAAATACTGTCTGTCTGTCTGTCTGTCTGTCTTTCTTTCTTTCATCTATAAAATTTGTAGGCCGTCCAATTACTAATGTCTTTGGATGGCTAACAGCATAAATAAATTGACAACCCACTCTGGCTGCAATTAATAACATACAATAATAAACTTCAATATTAAAATATTAATTAAATAAAAAGGTCTTAACCTGGCGCCAAAAAACATATAATGATGGCGCCAGGCAGACCTCTCTGGGGAATGCATTCCATAGACAGGGCGCCACCACAGAGAAGGCCCTCCGGGTACTCTGTCTCCTAACATCTTTCACAGAGGGTTCCCAGAGGAGGGCTTCTGTTGCTGATCTCAGGGGGCAGGAGGGCAAATAGGGAAATAAATAAATATACAGCAGTGTGCAGTGGGAAGCCCCTTGGATGCCAACAAGCTTGTTGAAAAATGCACTAACGGTTATGAAGATCAGAGTGGAAGGACTTCTACCAGAAATGCCTGCTGGATTGTTGGCAGAGTTGACCATCAAACTCAGCCTCTGTCCATCATATGTTGACAGGGCCAGTATACTTTCCATTTTATACACTTTCCTGGATACCATGCAAGATAATGTATAGACAATGAGGAGTGTGGCTCAACATCAAGGTACATCTTCATTAAGAAAAAACTCAGCGTGGTGTGGTGGTTCCAGTGTTGGACTGGGGGACCTTGGAGATGGGCTCTAGTCCATTCTCAGCCATGGGGCCCAATGGCTGATGTTGGGCCAGTCACTCAGCCTCAGTCTATCCTACCTCACCTAAGTTGTAAGGATAAAATGGAGTGGAGGAAGATGGTGTAAACAGTCTTGGGTTTCTTGCAAGAAGAAGAAAGGTGGGATATTTATAATGTAAATATTATTACATTATATTTATGTAATAATAAATAACAACAGCATATCATTTTCTTCAATATTGTGAGGGCAAGGGAAAATGCATGCACATGAGGGATACTGTTGGAAGGAGTAGCAACATCAAAAAAAGAACAGAAGGAAAGGGAAGTGAGAAGTAATACAAAAGCAAGTTGTTTATTGTAACAATCATGTTGCCCCCTTCTGTTTTTAAAGTAAGAACTATGTTAAGAGTATAAAGACAGCTGCAGTTTTATAATGCATTTTAAATAGTTTATGTACATTATATCTGTATACATTGCAGCAGTATACAAAGGAAGTTGTATACAGCAAGTGCAAATGATAGCTTTGCTGTTGACCTTGGGACCACCAGATTTTTCCCCTCATGCAATAAATATGTATTGCATTACGAAAGAATGGTGGCATGTTATCATTAAAATAATGCTCTTAATATCTCTTGTCACTTCATCATTCTCTGTTCACTGTAGAAATCCCTGGAAGTGACACAGGGTCCTGCCTTATGCATTGAAACCCATTACAAATAAATAAGATCAAAAGAAATGATGCTTTTCCAGTTCAAGGCAACAAAAGATTTTCAGTGCTTTCTCCTCCATTTGTCACAAGAGTTCAGTAGCTTCTAGCTCAAGTGGAGCTTTCTGGTACAGTTGTTTTTTGCTTGAGCTGTCCAGGCCAGCTATGGACTGTGAAATGAAACATTTGTGGTGTCACCTGCATGTGACAAGAACTTTACCATAATTGAAGACTGATTATTTTCCTCTATTGTGATTTTCTGGCTGTAGAAACTGCAGGAAATTTGTTAACCAAATCATCCTCTCTTTGACAGAAGGAGGAACGGGTACTCTTAAAATTCCCAGTTCATTGCAAGTATGGGGTAAAAGTTTTGACTGCCATTTTGATATAGCTGCATTATGTCAGTATGGTTGTCTAGTACACGCACTGAAAGTTCAGGCTTCAGATAATCTTCAGGTTTCATTTGGATGTTTCATAAAAGTCTAAGCTGCTGTTTCTTTTATAGAAGTATTATTCCTAGCTTGTAGGTGTTTTTACATTCTCCTATGTGGTGTTGACTCATGACCTGGTTAAAAGGTCAACTTGGTCCCCTTTTCTTTCTGACACCTCACAGTCACTTCAGTCTGCATTCTTGGGCTCTTTAAAAGAAAGGTCCTTCTAAGAAAGCAGGCTTTCACCTTTAAATAAAACCCATTCTTGTTGCTCTAATGACCTTTGTACTCTAAAGGATCCCTTTTCTGTTCATTTCTTATATGCTGCTCATTACATCTGTTTATGATCAATACTGATTTATGGGTGGAGAACGTACACAGCCATGTTACTGCTTGTTTGAGAGAAGCTGCTACAGTGATACAGCATGAGAAGAAGCATAATAGAAAAGTCTGAAATAAATACATTAGTGTCACACTTTTGGAGAGCTCTGGAATAAAGCTCTAGAGCAAAGCATTTAAACCTGACTGGAAATGGGGCAGGGCTGCACCCCATCCTTGTTCTCATTTGCAGTATTTGCTGGAATTCTGATTTTCTACTTCTGTCCTCTCACTGTGCTCCCATATATATTCTTCTTCTCAAATTATCATCTCTGGAAGACACAAAACAGCAGTGAAACTTAATAAAAGGACACCTGGGACCTCAGGCAGTTGCATTAAAATTAGAAGCATGTATAGTATTGTAGCATTTATTCTGAAAGTGATCATGCTTGAGGAAGAAATGGGAAATTACGTGGTTGTTTATGCTAAATCCAGTTCTGAATCAAATGCTATCTTCATATTTGATGCACATAATTTAACAATAATGTATAGAATTAAGTTCTCCTTGAAATAGACCAAGTGTGGCATCCATCCTGGAATGTGCTTCATTATGGATAGGTTAAAAGACTAGTTTGGCAGTTGCGCTGTTGTTTGAGTTAGTGCAGCTGCTGCTCTGAATAAAGCACCCTCTCCTAGTCTGTGGAGTTGTGCTCTTGTTAACCTGCAGACTGAGGCCTTGCTAGCAGATTTGACTGAAGTGGAGGGTGCTTTATAGAGTTCCTTATCGTTTCCTTGATGTTTACCCTCCAGCAGTGCCTCAACCATGGAAGCAGGGCAGAGATCACACCCTCCAGGAGATCAGGACTGCTTCTGCCACATAAGTCTGCTTCTTCCAGAGACCATGATCTGTAGAAAACAAGAAAAGGAAAAAAATACCATGGTTGAGCAGATCCTCAGGACTGAATTGTATATCAGTTTTCCAGAGGACGGCTATCTTAAAATGTTGGATGTGGGACTATTAACCATGATCAGAGAGACAGGGTGTCTAAAGCAGGAGGAAGTCTTAAAGCAGGTGGCAGCTTTGACAACACGGTCATGGATTCACTTTCACATCGACTTCTCCTAAGAAGGGGACAGGGAAGTGGAAGGTGAAATGATAGGCCAGCTGTAGACTTCAGTGACTCCTCTGGTGACTGTAATTGTGTCCGCTTATTAAATGCTCCTCTAATAATGGTGTTGGTTACTTGAGGCTCTTCTTTTGACCATTGTGGTTGGTTATGCTATTATTGTAGCTATCATCTGTTGTTATTACATTTGACATTTTCTAGGTGCTCGGTGTGAATGTTATAGCTCTCTATGTGACGGTGTCTTTTTTGCCCTTGAACATCCATCGCTGTCCCTTCAGTCCATGGGCACACAATCCATTTGCAAAGGCTTGCTGCATCTCACTGCCTCCCACATTGGTCAGACAGCCAAACCGACTCTTGTCGTCTGGAAGAGTGACCATTCTGTGTGTCTCCACAGTGCATTTACTTCATTTCTCATCTTGCAGACATTTGAACCAGCAGCCCAACTTAGGGTCACACCCATCCAGCAAAACCCCTGGTTAGAATGCCCAGTAGGAGTAATGTAACCATAATGTACGCTGTTCCTTTGTTAGGGAATCCAACATAAGCTTTCTGTTTGTTGTCCATATTAAATTGAATCTCCTATTATAGCAAGACAAAGGGCTGCTGCAGGAAAACCCATTTTCATGATGTTTTTCCATTGGCCAAAATAGTCCTTTTACTGAAGTAACTGGTATGTTTCTGAAAAGTGGGGGTGCTGGCATTTTAGCTGCTGTCTTTCCATGAATTATTGCATCAACCAGGACATCTAGAGAAGTTTATCGGAGAGTTGAGAAAGCATAAATGTTCAGGCAGAACATTTCTTTGGTTTTTGGTTACACAGGAAACGGCTTCATATGTGGTCAGACTATATGTCCATTTTCCCTAGTATGGTGTGCTCTGATTGACAGTGGCAGACAAGTCTTCCTCAGACCAGCATGGGATATTTGAATGCTAAACATGTTCTCTACCAATTTGCTATGGTCTCTGCATGGGCACTCCTTAAGATTTCACCTCTGTTCTTGCACTGTTTCCCTGTTTTTTAACTTTTGTGCTCCTGCTTCTCCTGCCAGCATCAAAGGACCCATTTGCAGACTCTTTAGAGCCCGAGGCTACTGATAAGGATGATATGGTGTTGCTGAATGAGATTCTCAATGCTTCTTCTCTGGACGATGGGGAATTCAGCAGGGAATGGACTGCTGTCTTTGGAGAGGATCCACTCACTGAGGTAGCCACGAATCCTTCTGCTGGAGAAGTGGAGAGCAACCAGTCGTCATCAGGCTTCCTTCCTTCTCAGCTTTTAGACCAAAACATGAATGATTTGCAGTCCTCTCTTCAAGGTAGGCTTGTTTTGTTGCTGACATAAGGAATGCTTATCAATAGAACATCATTGCTGGCTAAATTCTGCCAGTACTTTGGAACAGTGTATGAACTTAATACTGAGCTGTATGACAATGGACTATACGTGTTTGCATGGACACGTATTTACTGGGGGATTTGGAGATCCCATGCTAAACTGAGCTGTGTGCACAAGTCTGGGACTTAGGTGCTCCACCTTCTCTGTTCTCCTTTGGCAGAGTTGCTTGGTGAACATTTGAATAGGGGCCAATTGGTTTCTTTAAACTGTGGGTTATTCACACAAGCCATATCTTCTGATCTTGAGTTGTTTGGACAGATCATAGTTTAAACTAACTAGAGTTTCATGCTCAGACAGACTGCGATAAATTCTGATTAGCTTAAAGCAAAAGTGGATGCTTAAGATCATCATCTGAATATGACAGAAGATGAGAAGGGAGCAGGTTTCTGCATATGACACGGCTGCAGCTTAGCATTGTGTTCGAACCAGATTCCTTCTTTTCTCTCTCCCCCACCACTGTGTGTCTGTCTGTTTATGTTTTGGGAAGCTTGCACGTATACGTTCCAGGAACTGACTTCCTCCCTCAGATTACTCACAGTAGACCCATTCATTTTTAATTTGCCCTCCATGCAATGCTCCCTGTTTTGATCTCTCCGAGTATCATCTACCTGCTCTTGTGTTGCAAAACAGATGCACCCGCACAACAGGATTAACATGAAACTGCTTTATTAATTCCCATCTCTAGTTGCTTTGGCGCTTCGTGTGCAGCAGAGCAACCTTCGTGCTGCCAGAACATGATGCTAATCTCTCTGCTGTGTCTTGGGCAGATGGTGGCTGTGGGAGGGAGGCGTAAAGGGTGAAAGGAAAAATTGTCTAATTATTTTTAGAGCGAAGAGATGACGTGTGTGAAGGGTTCTTAACTCCTCCAGGGTGTTAGTGTGGGTTGGGTTGCTTGTCATTTGTTGATGGGAAAATTATTCCTCTGACATTCCTCAGGTAGGAGAAAATAGTAGAGCCTGCAGTAGCAATAAAAAGGCTCTTGTTAAAGGGACCTTGTCAAGCCGGGCAGGCCTAAGAGAAGTGTATGTCATCAAAGGGACTTCAGAGGCTCAAGTCCAAGTCCTTTGGCCTATCGAATAGGGACATGGCTGGCTTCTCATTCTAATGGAGCTTGAATGCTAGAAATATTAAGGTGATGTTGTGCAGCTCGCCACAGGTAAGCCAACACAGAACAGCAGCTAGAGCCTAGCTAGACATGAGCTTGGATCAGATTTATACTGCATCGACTGTGCTGGTGAATGTGAACTTTCTCAGCCTTCCTTCCCATGGCAGCCCCCTGGAAATGCTGTAGAAATGATCAGAGATCTGCTAGATGAGGTGGTTGAATTGTAGGAAGGCCGGGGAATCCTGAAAAGTGGCCAGAGGGCATTTCCTCTCTCAGAAGGTCACGTCAGCTTGCAGAAGTTGGACCCTGGATCCCACCCCTGATGAAGGACACCTATAAACAGCATTATCCATGGTGGTGGTTGTCCTTGATCAAAAGGCCAGCACAGGGGTATGAAGGGTGATCGAGCTGCCAGGTTGCTGACGGGGACGGGGCGTTATGCTCACATGACTCCAGTCCTCCGTCAGCTTCACTGGCTTCCCATTGAAGCCCGGGCCCAATTCAAGGTGTTGATTATGACCTACAAAGCCCTAAACGGCTTGGGTCCTGGCTACCTGAACGAGCGCTTACGTCCGTATATGCCCGACCGCCCCTTGAGATCTGCGGGAGAGTCCCTTCTCCAGGAACCCTCCATGAAAGAAATTAGGAGAGTAAGTACCCGGAGGAGGGCTTTCTCTGCGGTGGCGCCCAACCTATGGAATTCACTCCCCAAAGAGGTCCGCCTGGCACCGTCGTTACTGGTTTTTCGGCGCCAGGTAAAGACCTTTTTATTTAAACATCATTTCAATTGTTAAAACATATGATCTGGCCTGGGCAACTTCTTCTTCCTTCTCTTTCTCATCCTATATTTTTATTTTATACTGATAATTTTAATTTTGTATTTATAAATCAATGTATTTTTTGTATTTTTATATTTAATGGTAATTTATTATGTACTATTGTATTTCAATGTATTTTATCATGTTGTAAGCCGCCCCGAGGTTTCGGCAAGGGGCGGCATAGAAATGTTATAACAACAACAACAACAACAACAACAACAACAACAACATGCATGGGGAGGGAGGCAGGCAAATGAATAGCACCTCCATGATTTTTCCCATGTGGCAGATATTTATTTATTGATTTATTTAAAACATGTCTATGCCGCCACTTTGGGAGTGCCAATTTAAAGTGGGGGTGAAGGAAGGAGCAACTAATGCAGTCTACGATTGAAAGCAACCTCAGGATCCACTTCCATTCAGTAACGTCCTTGGACAGTCCATGGAATGAATGAGGACTTCACTCTTGCCTCTGTGGTGAGATAGGCAGATTTGGAGGGAGGCAGAAGGGGTGGCAAAGGAAGAATAAAGCACTGACTCCCACCGAACAGTTCCCTTGTTCCACATTGCACTTTCCAGCATCTGCTGTATGTTTGAAGAAAGAAATTAAAAACCGGGGGATGCAGATGGATCGTTCACATAAAGTGAAGTTTGGTCCATGTACTGACCCAAAGGCTTATCTAGCCTATGGTTTCACTGAAGCCACATTCCAAATGAAAGTCAGAGCTAGGATCAACAATAAATCATACTGAAAAATCCATTATTTCACAGCACTTTTCAAACACGTTAAACTTGCAGCTCACCAATTTCTTATGCCACCACAGTTGACTTGGATGGCTAATGGAAATGGCTGTAGAAGCTAATATTCTTAAGTAGTTACTGCCTGTGGGAAATTATTAGTTCACACAGTCCATAGTCCTGCTAAATACATTTTGACCAATTGTTTTTTTCAGCAGCTGCAAATTCTGGGGCAAATAGTTCTCCAGAGTGTGGTGATCTTTTTCAGCCCTGTTACCAGCATTCTTTATCTATAAATGTTAAACATTCTATCATATATAAAGCATATATGAGAACATATGAAGTCCCCAAAGACAGAAAAGACTAGAATTCTCAGCTGCTGCTTATATCTAACAAGAAGATTCCACAACTTACCAGCTTTACTTGGCAATTATCAAATTTTCTCCTGACAGTCTGCTTCTACTTTAGTAGCATTTCCACTACTCAAATATCTTTTTCACACTTAAAACACTGCAGTTTTCTTAATCTTTTTCTAAAATTGAAAGCTGTCAGTCTCAAATAATCTCAAGTGTCACCCACTCCTATTTAGGGACAACCCAGTTGGCAATTGCTACAAATTTCTTTATTTAAAGTTCTGTCTGTCTGTCTCTTTCTCTTCCATCTGTCCGTCCTTCCTCCCTTCAAGCATGCAACATGATGATTCTGTTATATCATTCATATATTACAATCCACTGTCAAATAGAATTTTTCCTGGGGCCTCTGGGGACGACAGTAGTACAAGAAATTGTTACTGTTGAAGTGCTTTCTTTGTGGGTCAAAGAAGGCTCAACTTCAGAGCCAAAAAAAAATCTTAGGGGTGGGACGTCAAATATTCTACTGATTCTATTTCAAATATTCTACAGTTATCTCCTTCAGTCACTTCTCTAATTGTACAGCCTGCTTTCATAAGAAAGCATTTGCTTCTCTGCCTCTTTCTACTTTGTTCTCTTTTGGTAATAGTTAAAGGAATTGTGAAATCGTAGGTATAATCATGTTTGCAGTGAACTGTCTAGTTATTCCTTTCAGTTTTAAATGTAATATGAGCATAAGGGACTACCTTTTGCTTGTTTGTTTCAACTTGGCACATCTGTTCAGTCAACATCTCATTTATAATCTTAGTCTAGTTTGATCATGAGCTGCTCTCTGAGTGACAAGCTAGCATAAGGTTGCAGCCAGCAGGCACTGAACCCTTCCTCCCCAAAGACAAGCTTCCACCTTTTAATTTCATCGTATGTTAGCAGTGGAAACATGACAAACTGGTATCTTTTTGGCAGAGCTATTGGGCAGACGGACAAGTACTGGGCAGCTCAGCTGCTTGTCATCATGACAGTTGGGCTACCCCAGAAGAGCTGTGCCTGTTGATGAAGCCCTTTCTTGGGTTTAGTGCTGTCCTAGCCTGTCCTGCCATTTGAAACAGCATTTTGACAGACCCGCTTTGAACTCGGTCGATAACATCAGAATTATCCCTTTGTTGCAGTGCTTGTTTCTAATGGGTAATTGATTTAAATAGTTAAGCAAGACATGGAAGTCAGCTGCCTCCCCACAAAAGCCCCTCCTGCGTGTAAAGCCTAATAACTACCACCTACAATAAAGCACAGCGACCTTCAGCAGTTTGCTGAAGAAACCTGGAATAAGGGGAGCTATGTTTTGAGTTTTTGCTCTGCCTTTCAACCAAAGGCACTTGCACTGCAGAGTTAAAAGCAGCATAAGGTGAAGGACAAACATGAAGAGCAACTTCAAACAATTGAACAAACCTAAAATGACAGATTAGGATGCATACTTATTAGTTAATGAAAGAGTCACCCTGGGGAGACCAGGGTGCTGTTCCCACACAGCCATGAAGCTCACTTGGTGTCTCCGGGTGAGTCATTAACCCTCAGCCTGGCCTCTCCCATAGAGGAGAGGTGGGTCGTGTACCTCACTGCTTCCTGGAGGAAAACTTGGCTATACATATGACAAAGCATGCAATAAATGCCTTGAGTACTGCTGCCAGGAGTGGTGTGCTAAGTAATTACTGTTGATCTGCAAAAATGCAACTCTGCTATCGAATTCCAGGTTGGGCAGCCAGCAGCGTCAGCCCTTTGCCTGTACCCCAGACAGCACAGAAATCTAGTAGCCTGAATATGAATGTCAACAAGACACCTATGAAAGGTACTCAGTCACTTACTCTTTGGCATGTGTTTGTTATTGCATTAATCAGAGTGCGGTCTAAGCAATGGAGACAGGAATGTCTCTACTTGTTCATTTGTTCGTCGCTGAAGTGCTGCTGAGACTTGGGTTGTGTTGAAGAAATGCTGGGTCCAGTAGATTGTCATGGGGCCCACAGTGTGTTGTCAACATCCTTCCCCTTTCCTCTTAAAAATCCTGAGTACAGGCCATGGGCTCTGCCACCTCAGAGTGTTCCGATGTTGTCAAGTGGGGTTGTGTTTTTTATTTCTGTGTCTCGGTCTTTTGACAATCTCTGAAAAGATCATCAGAGAAAGAAGATAGTCTTAGTGCCCTCAACTCAGGTGCAAAAATGTAGTGTGGCTCTAGCTTCCAGGAACTTCATGAGGTTATATTCACTAAAATAAGTGCTAAATACTTTATCAATGTCGGGAGGAATGGAACCTGCCCAGCAATTAAGATGTCCTTTGGAGGTCTTTGAGATGCCCCTGCCTTCAAAAGTTAGGCTGGTGGCTTCTGGACAAAGGGTATTTTCTGTGTTGGCACCCAATTATGAAACTTCTTTCTCAGATACATTCATTTAATGCCATCACTGCAAGTGTGTAAGTGCTAGGCTACTTGTTGCCATAGAAGTTAAAAATTGTCTTCATTGCCTTTTATCTGTTGTCAATATATGTAACTCATCTTTTATCTGCCAATTCTGGTTTTTTGTCCATTATATCTTCTTGTACTTTCTGGTATTAGAGTGGTGGATGGGTGTTTCTTGAAAGCTGCTTTGAGGGCATTTAGGTAAAAGGCAGGGTACAAATTATATAAATAAATATAGAACTGCAGAATGCTCAACTTTTTGCCAATAACTATGCATGAGATCTTCAGTAGTAGTGCATTCTAAATCCATGGCATATTTATGTTATGCATGAAAAATCTTTCAAAAGAGCAATAAAGTTGACTTAGTGGCGACTGTTTTTCTTTTCTTTTTGCAGAAACTGCAAGTTCTTCTAAAGATCTAACTGCATGGTTTAGCCTCTTTGCTGATCTGGACCCCTTGTCCAACCCAGATGCTGTTGGAAAAACAGATAAAGAACATGAATTGCTAAATGCATGAATTGTCTGCCTGTGGTAACTCTCACTTCATCATTCATAAACACCATTCTTGAGGTTTTAGAAAATTTAAAACCAGGTCCATGTGCTCTGTACAACTTCTCACATCTGTGCCATTCTAATAAAATCAAGGGATTGACCCTCCCCTTTCGATAAGTAAGTTATTAGCTCTTGTTTTGTATAAAAAGTTTGCACCTTCTCTTTTTTGTTTGTGAATGTACTGAATGAAGTGTTGATTTTAGAGAGGATCCTAGATTAGTGTACTTGCTGTAACCTGGGTCTTGGCAGAAAGTTGTCGTGGCTGATACAAGGGTGAAATATAATTGAGAAACCTATTTTTTTCTGTTTTTCTTTGTGTAAATCAGAAATCAAAATCATGTAATCCAAAGGCTGCATGAATTGATTGTATAGGCAGTAGTATGTTATATACTGCTGCAATATTAACATAACTAAATTTCTATTGTTAGTACCCATAGTGAACAATCTATATATTGGAACTAATCGTTAGAGAATTATATCTGAGAATCTGCAAATCTACTCTACTCACTCTCTAATTTTAAATTGTTAGGCAAATGGCACTGCCCAGACTACATCTTTGTAGTGTGTTCTTTTGCACCAGCAGTTTCTGCTATTAAGAGACCAGGTCGTATTGACTTTGCCAACCATGCATTTGCAGTAATCGCGGTTTCCGTACAAAGCATTGTTCATCACAGCTGGTTTCACACCCACATGTTCTTGAGCCTATTGTGACACTCTTCTTTAATAAAGATGGTTTTGACAAAAAGAAAAGCCTGAATGTCCATATGTCAACTGGAACTTAAGAAATCCAACTCGTGAAATCTGATCATTTTTAGCAGGAAACGAATAGTTTTACTCAATGCCCTAAAGATGAGCGGGTCTCCTCAGCTGGCAAAACCAGGCCCATTATCAGCACAAATCAACCTCAGGAGTCTCCTGAAAACTCTTAGGAGGCCCCTTTTAAAAAATAATTCAAACATTGTCACTTCCAATCAGTACTGAATAACTGGGACTAGGATTCTACTTCTTAATTTCCCACAATGCCTCTGGGTTTATCACTTATTTTTATTTCCTGCAAGTTTTTACAGATGAACACAATAGCCACGTGGCCCTCTGAGCAGTTCACAACACTTTGGATCACTGCTGAGCATTGTAAGACTTCATTTAAAGTCCTAGATTGTAGGCCTGGTGCTAATCACAGCTCTGTTGCTGCTGCCTGTAGCTGCAGCCAGATAAACCTGCAGGGCTTATCAACATGGTAGGATCAAAAGGCATTTTCCTGAGTTCTCCTCACCCCCAAAAAAACACTGTCCCAGAGCAAGAGAATCTGGTATTTAAGATGATTTTTTTCCAGGCTGACTCTGTTTCTCTTTTATCTTCCTAGCATGTAACATGAAACAAGTAAAGCTAAAGAAATGGGTGTGTCATCCTTTATTTTGGTTTTGTAAATTCTAATTTAGCCTTTGCCTTGTTCTGCTAGCTTTATAAATTTTTTTCATGGGAAATATTCAGAAATACGTTTCTACTTTCCATCCGAAGCAGTGCAGCTCTAACTGTGACTTTAACCCTCTACCCACCATCTCCTTCTGCTATATCCAGGTTTCATCAAGGTGCAGATTTTTTTTGTCAGCCAGCCACTTATTCCCTACACTATTTTCATGCAGAATGATGCTGGATTTCTGAATTTGAAACTTGGGGCTTTTAAGCAGTCTAAAACATGCTTTGAAAGCATAAAATAGCCTACAGAAAAGACCCTCTCCCTGTTTCTAGTGTGGTTTGTGCTAGGCTTTCACTGGCCAGGTCAATGTACCTTTGGTGAAGGTTTGCCCATAGCTGTGATGTTAACATTGCCCACCAAAGCTTCAGAATTGTGGGGTCACACACATTCTTTTGTATGTGTTCTCTTAAAAATGTAATGTATGAAATGGATTTTAATCATTCCACTCTTACATGCAGTGTGCTTCTGAGGATCACCTCTGAATAGTCTTCATATCTTTGTCCTGCTGTGCCATTAAAAAATGCAAAGATGAGATGGGAGACAGAAAACCGCAAAGACATGAGAGTAATGCATCAGCCTACTTGGGTTACTCTTTTACATTTCATGTTGTTTCGACCCCACAGGATCTTCTAATTATATGTTTAGCGGGAAAGCTAAATTCTACTGGAAGCAGCTGGCGGTCTTAACAGTGAATTGTGCATCCCACAATACATTGCAAATTCTTGCACATTTCTGTCCACTGTTTACAATGCTCTAAAATCTTCATAAACTGTTTGGTTCCAGTGCACACTAGACCCAGAGCCAGCAAAAATGGAGTGAAGTTGTAGTTTTTCCAGCTGATGGGGGGGGGGGGACTGGGGGGGCACTAATGTGACTAGATTGCACTGGCTTTCAAGCAAGCTAATACTCTACTGTGTCAGACTTAATTAGAGCTGTTTTTAGGTCACAGATCATAGACATCAGAGCTGCAAATGGCTCCCACTCAATCAGGGCATTGTGTGGAGAGTGCTGCACAAGTGTAACAATGGTCTGCATTGCTATCAATTCACATCACACTTCAGATACAATAGCTGAACTGCCACAAGATTTCAGACAGAAAAAGGGGGACCGTATTTGCACCAATTTCCACCCCCACTCCAAAAACAGCTCTATTATTAGTAATAACTAGGGAAGCCTATTTTGCTTAATGTAAAGACAATATTGACTGTTAGTGTTGCATATATTTCCTGCCACCCATAGAAAAAGGACCATTAGAGTAAACTTAGTCTAACAATGGAACTTGGCCACTGGCCTGTTTAAATTGAATTCCAAAATCTGTAACTGAAAGTACAGGATGAGTTGTTGATGAGGCTAATAGTACTTATTGGTAATTAAAAGACATGCAGGGTAGAATATTTTTGCAGCATTTTGCTGTGCTAGCCATATGCAGTCTCAGTTATTAACAGGACATGCCTGTTAATTATTTTGTTAACAATCAGAAGACCATTACATGACCAGCTAAATGGTTCCTTTTGGCCATATGTATTATCCTTTAGTTGCATATTGATTTTTGAGCAGGATATTTTCAAATAAAAATGTAGCATAACAGCTATAGCATTGGAGCAGGTAAAAGAATATTTTTTGCTGTGCTTAATGCATGGTCCCCCCCCCCCCGATTTTATTTTTTAATATTAAATATTCCAGGCAAAGATATCCTTTCATACTTCATACTCCTCAAATAGTATATATTTTGCTTAAAGTTAAAAATGGGTATTTCTTCTGTAAAAAAATACTCCAGCAGATATTAAGTCCGTACTTGATACACCTCTAAAGGCTGTTTAATGTTGACAGTGTTTCCAGAAAGTGAATTACAGGTAGCATGTGTTCGGCTCAGCATGCATCTCTTGACCATACTACATATTTACAGCTACAGACAAACTGTTTAAATCATCTTTCAGCTTGCTGAAATGCTTGAAAATGCAGGCATACGTCGGAGGTATTCCTGGTTCGGTCCCAGACCAATGCAATAAAGTGATTATTTCAATAAAGCAAGTCACACTTCCTTTTTTTTTTTTTTTTTGCTTTCCCAGGGCATATGGAAGTTATGCTTACACTATATGGCAGTCTATTAAGTGTGCAACAGCATTAGGTCTAAAAAACAATGTGCACACCTTAATTAAAAATAAGGAAGTGCTAGCCATCATCTGAGCCTTCAGCAAGTCATACTGTTTGATGGTGGAGTGTCTTGCCTTGATGTTGATGGCTGCTGACGGATCAGGGGGGTGCTTGGCTGAAAGTTGGAGTGGCTGTGGCAATTTCTTACAACAGGACAATAACTAAGTTTGCTGGATCAATTGACTCTTCCTTTCACGAAAGATTTCTCTGTAGCACGCAAAGCTGTTTGATAGCATTTTACCCACAGAAGACCTCCTTCCAAAATTGGAGTCAATCCTCTCAAACCCTGCTTAGCTTTATCAACTAAGTTTATGTAGTATTCTAAACCTTTGCTGTCATTTCAACAAACTTCACAGCATCTTCAGCAGGAGTATATTCTGTCTCAAGAAACCACTTTCTTTGTTCATCCATAAGCGGCAGCTCCTCATCAGTTGAAGTTTTATCATGAGATTGAAGCAGTTCAATCACATCTTCAGGCTCCACTTTTAGTTCTCTTGCTACTTCTACTATATCTGAATTTACTTCCATTGAAGTCTTGAACCCAAGTCATCCACGAGAGTTGGAATCAACTTCTTTCGAACTCCTGCTATTTTGACCTCTTCCCATGAATCACAAATGTTCTTAATGGCATCTGGAATGGTGAATCAATTTCAGAAGATTTTCAATTTACTTTGCCCAGCTCCATCAGAGGAAAGTTAAAATTACTCCCTGATCCAAGGGCTGCAGAATGGATGTTGTGTTAGCAGGCATGAAAGCAACATTAATCTCACTGTACATCTCCACAAGAGCTCCTGGGTTACCAGGTGCATTGTCAATGTGCAGTAATATTTTGAAAGGAATCTTTCAAGCATGGCCTGTCCATGGCTTGAGCGTTGTTTATTCTTCCAACAAGCTATTCTGCCTGGGTTTGGGCGACAGAAAAGCCACAACAGGGTAAGTAATTAGGCAGATGGTGCCTGGCCTGAGCTGGGAATTAAAATAAGCCCCCGTGGCTTGATTAAGCTGTGGTGATTGTGCAAAAGGAGCCAGTGCCTAAACCCAACCTTTGAATAGAATGCCAGGAGGAAGAAGGGCATGTTACTTTATTATATTTATATCTTGTTTTTTTCCTTTCAAAGAACTCAAGGCAGCTTACACAATTCTCCCTCTCTTCTCAATCTTATCCTCACAATGACAGCCATGTAAGTTAGGTTGGGCTGAGAGTCTGTGATTGGCCCAATGTCACCCAGTTAGGTCTATGACTGAGTGGGGACTAAACCCAGATCTCCTGAGTCCCCAGCCATGCTAAAGCTGCTTTAGCAGTCCTGCAGGTACAAACCTAACAAGATGTTAACTACATTAATTTTCCACCACTACACAGGCTCTGTAGTTAGATGGTAAAGCACATGTTTTGCCTGGAAATGGCCCAGATTCTACATCTGGCATCTCCAGTTTCAAAAAAATGGTCAGGTGGCAGTGATGAGGAAGGCTTCGGCCCAAGTCTCTGGAGAGTCACTGGTTGTTAAACAATGGGCTCCATGTGCAAATACTCTGTCATGGTGTAAAGCAGCTTCAGATATTGCTATCCGGAGCAGCTGACAATAATGCACTGAAATTATAAAACAGTGAACTAATAAAAATACAATCAAAATCACTAGCACTGGATAGGTTGCATTGCTTTCAAACACATTAAAAGGAGAATGAAGGTTTGACTGGAACCTGCCACTGTCTCTGCCAGGAGAATGACTGCAGCAGGGTAGGGTAGAGAGTTGGTTGCAGCCACAGTTGATCCAGAAGCAGAAGACTTAGTGTTGACCCCATGGGACTGTTCACACATGAAACTAGACCACGGTTGCCTCATGGCATGGTATCTTCCCTTCCGTCTTCTGTTCACACAATTCTGGTTTCCACACTCCACCATCCTCCAAGTATCATGTCAGTCCCCACAGCTGGGAACTAATCCAGTGTGTACTGGGAAACCCCCTTTGCCTGGCTCTCCCCCATTGGTCCACATGCTCCTCTGGGTGCATTCTTAATTGGCTGCCTGCATCTTTTCATTTAGGGAGGTCAGCTGCTCTATAGGAGCAATGGAGTAGCATCTCCGATACTGTTACATTCCATGCCTATGCGAATGC